ATTCTGCTGAGTATATATAGGTTGGTTGGATTATTGAGTCAGTACCTTTTAGTTGGAACCCAAACAGAAGAACAACACAACTGCAATCAGACACACCAGTCCAGCAAACAGTAAGTTGATGTTCGTTTCACTAAACCACCTCCCTTTATAGAGAAAAGAATAAATAGAATAAAATATAATATTTTACTGACCTGGTACATATAACCTACATGCTTTAAACCAACTCGTTGTAACGTTTACATATCACAGTGAAAATAATAATAATAATAATAATAATAATAATAATAATAATAATAATAACAATAATAATAATAATAATAATAATAATAATGATGATGATGATGATAATAGTAATAATAATAATAATGACGAAGATAATAATACAACAAAACAAGTTGTTGAGACTTTAAAGAGGAGACGAGAGAAAAAAACAAAGCATTGCTCAGATATGTTTTCTTTTTTTTGCTTGACTTTCTCTTCATGAAACTGAATGAAGAAAAATGAAAACGCCCATTCAGTAAGTTCACTTTTAATAGAAATCAACACAAAATGTCAATAAGGCGCCAGTGAAAAAAACGACCGGGGAAGCAAGGGTGACGCAGTGGCGAGAGCACTCGCCTCCCAGTAATGTAGCCCGGGCTTCAAATCCTGGCGTCGACGCCTTATGTGAGTGGCTCTCTCCCTTGCTCCAAGACGTATTCGTTCTGCCGTTTTTCCCCTCTCCTTAAAAACCCAAAATACAACATTCAATCTGGAAAGCATGGGGGACGTTTGCACAAGTTTTTCACAACAGCAAAGTGCTTTGTGGCAAAAAAAACTCCCAATTTACAATTTTATACGACCACCACTACGGATGGATAGTTTTGGAAAGCATAAGCGACGAGACGAAGCAAAGGAAATTTCATTTAAAAAATTCCAAAAGTCAGCCACCAAGCACGACACTTTTGTCATAAACGACAAAGGCAAGCGTTTGTGAGGTTTTTGTATCATTCTATGGTACTGACAACCGTGAAGTTATTACCAAATTTTTAAGGGATTTACGGCTACCAACATGCATATGACCCTACAGTCTTTTTGCTTCCGATAACTTTAATTGAAATAGCTGTATTGTATAAAGGATGTACTAATTCATGATGGAATAAAGAAACTCTGAAAAGAAAGTGGAATTGCCAGTGATGGCCACAAACCTTTAATCGAGCATTTGCCCTAGTAAAGGGAATCAGGGATCAACGCGAGACAGATACAAACATCTTTCAACCTAAGCGGGCTTGATTCCCATGGAGGTTCAAGTTTTCTTTTCTTGACCTCTCATGGTTACTTGCCTCTACTTATTTGGAATAACGCCCAATGGGGTTTGTAGGTCATCTCTAGAACTTTGAGTATTACATGTCAGTTACACTACAGCCTGTACCTACAAATGAGATTATTTAAGAGGCTTTAAAAAAGTACCAACGAATTAGAGAAGTGACAACAAAATTTATTGTCTTTATATTTACCCCAAGGTATCTGGACATCCGTCTTCATGCGTGATTCGCAGTTTCTACATTTCTCAACACCTATATATCGTAAAGGAAATATCAACGTTTGTGCCAAATCAATTACACCCTTAAGGCGCCGATTACATTAAAAATTGCATCCTGGTTAGCCTGGCTTACATTTTAGCTCGGCTTCCGGGACAAATCCTTTCAAAAAGACGATTGCGATTAACTCGATTGCATAAAGAGAGTTTTAGTGAATCGGAGTTGTCAGTATTTTAGCTACAGTAGTTTTAATCGAAGGCGCCTGTGTAAAAGAGTATAGTTTAGTCCGGGCTGAAATTTCAAGCCGGGTATCAAAAACCGGCTGAAAAATTTCAGGAAGTGTAACTCTGACCACTTAGTTAAAACTATTGAATACCATTGGCAATACAGTGTAGGAACCACAACATTAACTTAATGTACCACAGACAGATACCTTGATTCACAAGTGTACTGATTTGCAAGCGGATTGTTCAATTTTTCATCGACAGTTTGCAACTGCAAAAATTAGGATTTACAGTGGATAGAGTAAGAAAGAGTAAAAGAAGAAACAGGCATTGGTAAGTAATGGACGCTTTCTAACTGTTAGTATACTTACTTTTGCACTCAAAGTGAGGCCAGTCTTGAAAAATGATGGCATCGCTGAGAATATGAGCCGTAACAGAAGCTGCCATTAAACTCGCAAATGGCCTCCAAGACGACTCCTTGGATTTGCTGCCACCTGCGTAATCCGAAATCCCTTTAATGACGATCCACTCAATGTCGAGGTCGTGAGCCGCAGCAAACACGCCTAGAGTAAAGATTAGTCATACATGAAGAATTGAAGTAATTATGACTGAAACACAGAAAATGTAAGAAAGGCCAAGAAAAGGCAGCTGGAAAGGATTGTGAGAGATAGTTAAAACAAAATTTGACAATTCGTAATTTAACTGGCTTGATTGTAAGGGCAAGGCATCGATAAGCACAGGCCGATGAACTGAGCATATAATAAAAAAATAAATAGTGATCCAGTCTGAACGATCCTGTAGTTTCCATTTGATTAATCTATTCATAGAATAATTCACTGAAAGGTATTCTGCTAGCAAGGAATTTAAAGGATTTGGGCATTTATTTCAAATCACTGACTTGGAGTCATCCTGCCCAATGTGGTCTAATGGCCAAGGTCATTAAAGTTCACTATTGCCAAAAACTCACCTTCACCCTCTTCGTCCATAGCAACTGCTTCTGGGAATCGATCGATGAGTGCCTTACAATGCTTGGGGCTATCAATTACTTCTATGGGCCCACTCAGAATCGTGCCACGGTGTATCTTGACCTCGGGTGTTTTTGGATCTTTTAAAGGCGGCTTCCAGCCATCACAAGCCCTTGGTATCACCTTCAAAAGACGGGACTTAAGTGGGACTTTCACACCGCGTTCTTCAATGCCACCCTCCGTCATTCTGCACGGGCCAGATGTGATTAACTTCTCAAACATTACTACGTCTCCAAGTTTAACTTTGTCGTAGCCTAGGCTCCTACAGGAACCTACACAGAACACTGCTTTGGGCCTTAAGACGTTGACAGCTTTTAATACAACAACCACGGATCCTCCTGGAGTGACGGCACCCCTGTGGCAGCTCATTACAGCAATGTTCAACTTTCTTTCATCTTTTCCCATATCTCCGAGGTACACAAAGCCAAGATCTCTGTGAAACGTCTTACAGAAACCAGGATTCAGATATGACAGACAGCTTAGAAATTCACAATCCTCGACTGTCAGTAACAAAATGTCGACTGGCAGTTGGCAATCATCAAGATGTGTCACACTTTGGGGAAGATCCTGCTTCTTAAGCAGGTTAATGATGACTTCTGGTGGAACAGGGGTAGATCTTTCCGATGTAGTTTCTGTAAAAAAAAAACAATGAATATTGTTGGAATGATTAATGACCATGTTGTTACTAAATAAACAGTCAAAATTTTCTTTCAGCCCTTACGAATAAATAATCGCATTTATCGAAAAGACATGTTTATTAGCTACATTGCACATGGACGAATTGGACAATAGTTAAGAAAGATTATTCACGTCTAACGGGTTCAACATTTGGAGACAAAAAAATGTTATGGTGATTTTGTGACAAAGTTAAGTTGAGTTCAGACTATATTTTCATTCCGCACGTTTAAAAAAAAATCCAGGGACCAAGAGAGAGCTGGCAGGATTCGACCTGATCTCCGGTTATGACAAAATTTAGACGGTTTTTTTTAAACTCTTCCCAAGATCTTACAACAATGTCGAGAGGGGTGTTAATAGTTCTCAAGAGCGCACTTTAATGAACCTTTCCACGTTTTTTAATTTTTGACGTGGACACGTTTGGGAAAATTCGTCAACTGCGCTGTAAAGAGCGCCTTTAAATTAGCAAAATTGCCAAGTTTGAAAGTGATTTGTTGAAAACTAATGAAGATGTAGCTTCTTCTTCTTTTACAGACGTTTATATAGTGGAGGGCAGGAACTCCCCCCCTCCCCCCACCATACAAACGTCTGTAAATTTTCACAACCTTGCGGAGCTGTATCATCACTCGCTTACGACGCATCACTTTAAGACTTGACAATTTTGCTAATTTTAAGGCCATCTTTCCAGTGGTGTCGACGGATTTTTCCTTACAGTCACGAAAAAGTTGAAAAAACCGAGGAAGGGTCTATTGGATCGTCGCTCTGTTGTTTGACCCTCCCCATCGTATCTGTTTTTGTTCTGTAAAAGTCCTGCAAATAAATACTATGCAAATTAATTAGGGGAGTGCGTTCGACAGGGAGGGGTGATAAGGCAAAGGGGGAGGGAAGTAAATGTTTCCATATTCTCTTGATTTTCGTCCGTTTTTGATTTTTTTAAAAATTTGTTTTAACATATTTTATTGACGAAGTTTGACTTAAGAGTAAAAAAACTCATCAAGAGGGCTCTTTTCAAAATAACATTAAATAGAAAAATTACATTAAAGAGTTATTAGTCAAAGCGGCAGCAAAACAAAAAGGATATTAAAGAAATTCTAGCAGGTGGAAAATACATATTTAGGTACTTTTACATAATCTCATCGATTCAGACATAAAAGACTGGACATGAAAAAATAAATTATTATTTTTCTCTGGAGACAGTAACGGTGATTTACAAACTACAAATATCAAAACTTCATACAGAAAAAGAACGACATGAAATCTGATCTGCTTGCAAGATAAATTTAAAACACAAAATAATACAAAACAGATTGCAGAGGTTAATATTAAACTTCAGTCAAAGGTAGGCCTTACTTAATATAACCGTAGTAACTGACAATATGCTTTCGCACTCCCGGAAGGTCAACAAAAATTTCCAATTTTCCAAACTGTCGTAAAATACTTTCTTAAGCATAACTGGGCTCAAATTTTCTTTTTCTTTCATAACAGACAATTTGAGCCTTTAAATGCTTAAGGGACAGAATTAACGACAGTTTAAAATTTTCCAAATTGCCAAGGATTTGTATGGAAAACCACCCAAGCGTGACTGGTTGGCAAAAGTTGTTTTTCCCATACAAATCCTTCTAATTTTCGGCGGCCGAAGCAATCGCTACTTTCGAGACATACCACAGAAAATTTACAGGTGACCTAATTTTAATATGCCCTTCCAATTCCCGCTAACTGATAATTTTCTAAAAGCGAACCGTTTTTGTGTTTTCAGAAAGTTAATCACATGACCAACAACTATTCCTGTTTGCCAAAAAAAGGGGCAACCACAATAAATGGGCCGGGGGGCTTACCTTTCTTAGGAGCTATGCGGTGTTCTTCATTGTTGTCACATTGAGTCACATCTTGCTGCTGTAAATACAGATACAGAAAATGACTCTAAATCATAAGAAATATTAATTAAGGACTCGGTAATGCACCTCCAGCCAAGCATCCATTATGAAATACCAAACAATGATATTTGATTTTCCCCTTTAAGTTCTGATAACAATAATAATCATAACAAATTATTATTATCATTTATTAATATTATTATCATCATCACTATTGTTATTATTACAAATTTAAAAAATAATGTCAATGCCAGTGGGGGCCTTAGGATCAGTTTCAAAGACCGATGAAAGCATATAATAAATAGTGATCCAGTTTGAACGATCCTGTATAGTTTCCATTTAATTAATCTATTCATAGAATAATTCACTGAAAGGTATTCTGTTAACAAGGAATTTAAAGGATTTGGGCATTTACTTCAATTCACTGACTTGAGTCATCCTGCCAACTGTGGTCTAATGGCCAAGGTCACCAAAAGTTCACTCTTGCCAAAAACTCACCCTCACTCTCTTCTTCCATAGCAACTGCTTCTGGGAATCGTTTGATGAGTGCATTATAATGCTTGGGGCTATCAATCAATTCTACGAGTCCGCTCAGAATCGTGCCATGATGTATCTTCACCTCGAGTGCTTTCGGATCTTTAAAGGTGGCTTCCAGGCATAACCAGTCTTAATATCACCTTTAAAGGACCGGACTCAGTGGAACTTTAACTCCACGTTATTCAATGCCACGCTCGACTTCTTATTGGTAAGTTTATTTTGGGAATTTATGGGGAGGATGCTTTTGGCAGGAGGATTTCTGGACTCATTTAGGTGGAAGTGTTAGTTATGAATGGTCAACCAATAAGCCATTTGCACGATGTCTTTTTACTACTAAGACCAGAATTCATTTCGTTCTTTCTTTCATATTTAAATTTGGTAATCCCACCGACGTTTAAATAACAGAAGCCCTTATTTGCACCAGTAAGCAAAACCCTGAAGCATTCTGGTAGTAGTAGTAGTAGTAGTAGTAAAATGACGCCACCGTGCAAATGGCCTATTTGAGAAACACCCACCAATGTTTTTCCACCCAAACTATCCCAGAAACCATCGTGACCAAAGCTTGTACCTAAAGTTTCTTGATTGGCGAATGAGCCACTCGCGATCGTGTTTTGGAAAAGCGAATTTAAGAACTAACCTGAGTGAGAGGAATGTTGCTTTGCTGAGAATCCGGGAAAGCAAACCAATGTTCAAACATCGTGATGGTAATTGTGCGATCCCCAAAAATGCCAGATTCGTTGCAATGTTGCCGCTCACGCAACTCTGACTCCGACAAAAAGTGCACGCACTCGCAACCACGCCTGCCATGATCACGGCACTTGACACCGTCTTCTTGAGAACACACCGGACAGCAAACGCACATTTTGTACTTCGCGTGCTTCAACCAGAAGAACTCCTTGCAAATGTGTTCAAGAAGACATTTCAGTTGAGAATAAATGGTTCGGCTTGTATTCAGATCACGAGCATCCTTTCCGTCGTGAAAAACTATTTCAATGGACGAGGAATGCAACATAAATACTACAGAAATTGCACGATCAGGAAGAATGTGAAACATAGCAAAATTATTGAACAACTCAGGATTTATCTCGCCCTTCCACTCTTTTTGACACAACCAATGAAACTGCAGAACAAGTCGCGAGAACAAGCCTGGAGGAACTCTGCCTGATTCAAACACCACAAAAAGTGAAGGGGTCCGTACACAATGAAGGTGCTTAAGGACATCATCTGTTGGGGGAGACATTAACATGGACGGTACAAGGTACTTCTGAGTGGTCCCGTCTGAGGGCCATGCACAAAGTAGGCTAAATTTCTCCATTATAGCAATGAGGCTCTCGTAGGTTTCTCGATTATCAGACAAGGGTCTCCACGCATGATTTAAAAGTGTTTCATCTAAGATTCCAGTCTTTTCAAAATCACGCCATAATCTCGCAACTTTTTTATCCGTTTGCTTGAAACGTTTAACAGTAATCACCTCCTTGAAGATGTCAATGAGCCACTGTGGGCTCAAAATAACCATTTTTTCCAAATCTGCTGTTTCACTAAAATGAATCAAAATTCTCTGGTCATGTAAAAACTTAAGCAGTGTTCGAAACTGTTCATCGTCATCAATTCCACACTCATCAGAGGCAATCTGTTTGGCGCGATCGATGGGTATCCACCCATAGCCTTCCTCGCTCAGCAGACGGAGAACCTTTTCATACTTCAACCACTTTAAAGGAATGGCCTTTTTAATCTGTGGAAGCTCCTTGGCAACAGAAAGTACTGTTTCTCTCAGATTTTTCACGTCTTGGCACTCATCATTACGACCTGACTTTGTGTTGTCTACAACAAACACGTCTTTTAGAAGATCACCATAAATCTTGTCTTTTAAAGTGGCAAAGATTTTTTCGGCAAGTTCTTTTGGGTTAGCCTTGTTCTTGTAAGGCTTGTCAGCATGCGTACACGCCAAGAATGCTGCAGGCAACATTTCAGATGACAGGGTTTCCTGACGGTTAGTACTTGGACTAACCAAAGAATAAACTGATGTCATCCAAAAGTCAAGATAGTCGAGATTTGTTTTTTTGCAGTGAGTGTCTATTTTATTTTCATACATGCCTTTTTTCGTGGGAGCTTTGGCTTTCTGGTCTGGATCACGACTTAGATCACATGCTAAAATGTAGATGGCTTGTTTTGTCAGAAAAATTGGATGTGTGGCATAGTAAACAGATTGTCCTCCAAAATCCCAAATGATGGAATATACGTTGTCTTCGTCCTCAAACTCTTGGCTATGTTCAAGCAAATTTTGAACCAATGCTGCTACGTTTTCTGGTAATTCTGGTACAGACAGATGATCTGTGGAGTCTTGAAGTGATGGATCGCTCCCGCTCTGTTCTGTACGTGATAAACTGGTTTGGGCTTTCTCAGATACATTGGAGCCGTGAAGTGACAGCTCGGTTCTGCTACTGCTCAGATCTTCTGCACGCAATGAATAGGGTTTGGCTTTCTCGACTACTTTGGAGTCTTGAAGTGAATGCTCGATCGTGCTACTGCTAGTTTCCTCTGAACGTTCAATAGGCAATAAATTCGCCTCTATT